GAGTCAGAACAGAACCACAGTCACTATACAAAATATTAAATCTAGTTTCAAAAACTGCACGGGTACTCGAACGAATTCCTCAGTTAGGAATCAGAACAGAACCAGTCACTATACAAAATATTTAAAATCTAGCTTCAAAAACTGCACGGGTACTCGAACGAATTCCTCAGTTAGGAGTCAGAACAGAACCACAGTCACTATACAAAAAGATATAAATCTAGTTCAAAACTGTACGGGTATTCCACAACTACTATCTCCACACAGTTACAACAGCAACTAAAACAAATGTTATGTTATGCCCAGGACAAAAGTGAACAGTATTCCATTCAGGAAGCCGCCAGTCCCCCTTCCGAGTGATTCACAAGATGTGGGAAGGAGTCTCTGGGTTTAATGATCATTATTACTATGAGAAATGCATTTTTTTCCGCCTCGCCAGCTTTCAGGTGTGGCCTGGATATTGTATTCACTCGGTTTTTTCCACGACGGGAAGCCTGTGGTAACGTCTTCAGACTGCCGGTATTCCTTGTCTTCTATTTCCTGTGGATATCCCTCCTTCTTTGTCTGTATTCTGTTATTCACACGCATGTGCATGCTTGAAAGAATAGCATGCTTTTGATACCGACTTGTAAGGTGAGTATAGGCTTCTGCATGTTTGTTATTCAACCGACTTTTGAAAAGAGACATAACAATATCATATATTATGTACAGCATAATTACGAAATCACCAGTCTATTTATCCGTTTGCCCCTATAGTTTCTTCGCTTTATGCATGTTGTCTTTATCTTATGATAGGACGTGTCAATGCCCCTCATCCCCCATCCCCGAAACCACCCTATTATTTGGAACTGTCCCCCTCTCTTTCCCACATTTTCCCTCTTTCCCTCCCTACCTCTCTTATTTCCCTCCTCCTCTTCCTCCTCCTCCTCCTCCTCCTCCTCCTCCTCCTCCTCCTTCTTCTTCTTTTTCTTCTTCTTCTTCTACACTCTCCTTCTCTCTCCTTCTCATTCCTTTTTTAATGCCCCCCTTTCCACACACACACACACACACACACACACACACACACACACACGAAAGCAAATCTCAACCCCCCCTCACACACACACACACATACACACACAACACACAGACACAAACGTAAAATTAAATAATTTTTTAAAAATCCACCATCCGCTCCGCTCCCAACTTACCCGAGGAAGAACTATCTACAAGAACAACAGCGAGGCTCACGCCCACCGCCACGCCCACGAACAAAACCACGACCACCGCTATGAGCAGCGCGTCGCGGGTACGTAGTCGCTTCCGGCTCCACCCCCTGTGTGCGCAGCCTCCCAGCGCAGGGGCGGTACCCGGGGTGGGCGGTGGCGGGACGATGTTGCTCTCGGAGGAAGACGACGTGCTGCTGTTTCTGTTGTTGTTGTTGTTGTTGTTGTTGCCTTTGGTGGTGGTGGTGGTGGTGGTGGTGGAGGAGGAGGCCAGCGGGTTCGCCTTGCCGTCGCCGTCCTC